GCACGGGTCGGCCGCCGCCGCTGCAGCCGCCCGCGGCGCGCCCCGAACCTTCTTCCCCCAGCAGAGGTCCCAAAGTGAAAAACAGACCTATTTGGAAGTAAGGAGGGTAAAGTAACACCGCCCCGAACCCCACGGCACTGGCGCCCCGGGCCTAGACGTGCAGGGACGGGCCCGAGTTCACCCAGCGCGGAGGCGGGCGGGGGCAAGGCCGGGCCAAGGCTCGACTCGCGCCCGGGGAGGCGGAGGAGCGCCCGGAGCCCTGCACCTGCCCAGGCACACGTGAGCCTCAGCGACCCTGGAAGGTTCTCCAATGCTGGGACGTTCACACAAGTGCATGCGTGAGGCAGAGATGGCAGGGAGACCGCGAGTCTCACACACAGAGCGTTAGGGGTATTATCTTCCGCTCAAGCGCGGGGCACCTCACAATTCCACGTTGTCAGAGCGCCAGTCCCCAGACCTGCTTAGGTGCCCTCCTCGTTAAGCCTCCTGCCAGCCTTGTTTGTAGCCAGACGCAAAGTTGGCTGTAAAGCCGTTTTTTCTGCCTTTTTTCCTTTTTTTTTTTTTTTGTTTTTTTTTTTTTTTTGTTTTTTTTTTTTTTTTTTTTGTTTTTTTTTTTTTTTTTTTTTTTTAATTCCCCAGCGAGAAAGTGACAAAGCAAGTCGCCAGTCCAGGACTCGAACCACAGTGGCCACGTGGGAGGCCTGCGCCTTAACCACCACACCACTTGCTGGCCCCTTGATTTCCTTCTGACTGTAAAAAGGTTTTACATTAATTACAAAGTCCATTAGGATAGGAGCATCCCCAAATATTTAAGGAAACATTAACTTTGTTATCTGCAAGCCTTTGGGCATTTAGAGATGGTTGAATTTGTATCCATGAAAGGGCTAATAGTTTCCAAGTAAATATTTATATTTCTCTGTAAGTGGTTAGAACTCTGATGAAGCAGAATAATCTCAGAACTCTGCCCTGTGTCCCCACCCTTCAATTACACCTGTGCCCATTTTCAAGTGAGTGGCCACAGGTTGATGATCACTGACTCCTTTCATTCATTTATTTTTCAGCAAACACTGTGCCAGACTCTGAGATAATCGCTGAGGACTCAAAAGTAAAGGACACCCAGTCTCTGTCCTGCAGGGCCAGTATCTTAGTACAGGAAGGAGACACTGAATTATAATAACTTGGAGCACTGGGCCAGGCATTAAAAATCTCTTGGGGAGATGGTGGTTAGAGAAAGTCTCCTAGATAAATCAGATGTCTAAATTAGATTTTAAGGGCTGCCTGTGAGTTGGTTAGAGGGAGAATAAGGTAGAGAAATATGAGAAAAGCTCTTTGGCATAAAACAGTAGAGTGATGATTTTCCTTCGACACATTGTGCCAGAGGGGAGTGTTGGAAATTAGGCTAAAGGGACAGGAAGGGGCACACCAAGAGCTGTGCAGGCTGCTGGCTTCCTGGATGTGAAGAATCAAAGTCTGTCTAGTACCTACAGAGGGCAAAGACACATAATAGGGTGCTCAGCTACAGTTGCTGAGATTCACTAGGATTCCGAGATGGTCTTCTGGCTCTGATTTTCAGTTCCAAAATATATAAAATTCTACTAGGCAAAGCGTATTGGATAAATCAATCTTAGGCATGTGTCAAAGTTTAGAAGTTCACTAACAAGGACAGGAGAAAGGAATAATGGTGGTGATTCAAAGTGACTTGGGCTGAGCAGAGGTTTGCATACAAAACCTTCTAACTAGTGTTGTCTATGCTGTGAAGAACACTTTTAATTTTTTTTTTTTTTAAGGTTTTTGCCATCAGGCTTGTGCACTTGCCAGAAAGAGACAGAAGGGGAAAGTGAGAATCACCCCCCAGGAGATATAGCCACTTCACAATCCCTTCTACATTCTCCTGGGATTTTGGGCATGCATGGACATGCACCAGGATTTTCAAGCACTGGGCCTAGCACTTAACCCTAGATCAGCCATGTGGGAATCCAGTATCATAGCCACCACATTACCCGTGGGCCCTTTAAAAAAAAAACACTTCTATTTCACTTTTTTTTTTTTTTTTTACTTTATTTTTGCTATAGAGCACATGTGCTCGCCAGAGAGAAAGAGAGACAGAAAACGAGAAATCAATCCCCCAGGAGGGATGGCCACTCTGTAATCCCTTCTCCTCTCAGGATTTTGGTCATGCACGCACACGCGCCTGGCGTGAGTTTCAAGTTGACCAGTCTGGAACTCAAACTGTGGTTACTATGCAGGAGTCTAGTGATGTAACCATTCCACCACCTGCTGGTCCCTATTTCACATATACTTAAAAAATCTTCTTCCTAGTTGATAGGAAGGAGAATTTGGGGTCCAACAATTGCCAGGCAAAAACCATTAATCAATCAGAAATATCAAGTAACATTAGAAGCAAACAATGAGTAATATACTTGGCTGTTTACTAGACATACCAAACAACAATAAATAATAAATGAGGAACTGTTATCACACATACTGACAGTGAGTCTCACCCCTGACAGTGTAGCACATGAGTCAAGTTGGTTCAGGAAGAGACAAGTGCTCTTGGACAATTCAAATGGCTTCTCTGTGCTTCCAGTTTTCTATTACAAAAATAACGTAGAACTTGTCTACTTCACAGCATTGTTGTGAGGATCAGGCCAAATATAAAAAAGTTTGTGAATATGCACTGTAAAGTATGGCTGCACAGGGACCAGCAGATGGCATAATGCTTATGTCACTGGACTCGCACATAGTCAACCATGGTTCGAGTACTGAACCTGGTGACTTAAAACTCACACCAGGTGTGTGTGTGTGTGTGTGTGTGTGTGTGTGTGTGCCCAAAATCCTGAGAGGAGAATGGATTGTGGTGTTGTCATCCCCCTGGGGAAGGGTGATCTCTCACTTTCTGTTTCTCCATCTCTCTCTCTCTCTGGCAAGCACACGTGCCCTATAGCAAAAATCTCTCTCTTAAAAAAAAGTAGGGATGCATGATACTATAAAGATCATGACTCTACAGAAAGAATTTTCTTAAATTAGTAATAGAGTTGCTAAATAGTCCCTAAAGCCTACTTCTCAAAATGAGGTCCTTGGGCTGGCAGTGAATGGCTGGGAGCTTGTTATAAAGGCAGAATTTGTATCCACAAACTACCAAATTAGAATGTGTGATTTCAAAAGATTCTTTGGTAATTCATATAAACATTGAGTGGAGGTGGATGAAAGCATTCCTTAAGCCACTGGTTTTCTTTTATTTCTTTCTTTTTTTTTTTAATGGTTATTTAGTTTTATCTGTTATTTAATTTGATGAGTGAAGGAGAGAGAGAGAGAAAGCAAGAGAGCAAGCCACCAGGTCTGAGACTTGAACTGTGGCCGGCCATGTGGGAGTCTAGCACCCCAACCACCATGCCACTTGCCGGTCCTAGCCACTGGTTTCACAGATTGCAAGGCCTAACTCCAGAGATTCTGATTCAGAAAGTGTGGGGTGGGGCTCAGGAATCTAGGTTGTTTTTTTCTTTCCTTTTTTTTTTTAGAGAGATTTTTGCTGTAGGGCATGTGTACTCACCAGAGACCGAGAGACAGAAAACAAGAAATCACCTTTAGTGGGGCATGGCCATGCTGCAATCCCTTCTCCATTCTCCTCTCAGGATTTCGGGCATGCACGCACACATACCCGATGTAGTTTCAAGCCAACAGGTCCAGGACTTGAACCACAGTCAGCCATGTGGGAGTCCAATGTAACCCTTATGCCATCTGCTGGTCCCTAGGAATTTACATTTTAAATAGAGGTCCCAGCTGATCCTGTAGTCCTAGGATCACTCCTTGAGAAACACTGCTTGAAATAGTCAGGCTGCCCATCTGTATGGCTTAGTTATGGCTCTTAGAATTTCAGAGTTTTTAGATCTGCTACTATAACCCCAAGTTAAGATTTTGAAGTCAAGCCCATATGTTTCTTTAAAAAAAAGTTATCCTATTCTTTGCTTCTCTCAGTAAATAGTCACCCATCCAGTTCATGAATCTTTCAGGGCATTATTGATGTGGGTTTTGCTTTGATTCTTGGGTTCTCTAAAGGTTCTTCAAAATAAAGCAGCCATTTTTAGGTTGCTTTTAAATGACAGTAACCTCAAAGTAGACATTTTATTCATAGCTTATGTGCATATTAATAAATGTGTATCTATTACTTAGCACATCTCATTTAAAAAAAATTTTTTTTTAGAGGTTTTTGCTATAGGGCACATGTGCTCCCTAGAAAGACAGAGACAGAGAGACAGAAAGCAAGAAATCGCCTCCCGGGGGAATGGCCACGCTGCAATCCCTTCACCATTCTGCTCTCAGTATCTTGGGCATGCACACACATGCACCCAGCGTGAGTTTTAAGCCACCGGGTCCGGGACTCGAACCGTGGAACAATATGGGAGTCAAGCGACATAGCCATTACGCCAACTGCTGGTCCCTCTAACACATCTCACATTTAAAAAAAGAAACTAGAGAATTCACAAAAGAGGCAGCTTTTTTTTTTTTTTTCATTTTACTTTACACTCCACATATCACATGGTAAGAATTATTAAACTATATTAAAGGTATATTCACTGGTTGGAAATACTAGGTGACATCTACTTCTAAACGTCTCAAAAATTCCTTCCCTCTTTGCTTAAAATAGGGAGTTAGAAGCATGTATTTAAAGCTAGTATTACAATTAAGTAGCTTTCTTTTTTTTAAAGAATTATTTTATTGAACTTTATTTATTTTTTCTTTTTTTGGAGAGGTTTTTGCTATAGGGTGCGTGTGTTTGCCAGACAAACAGAGAAAAAGAGACAGAAAGCGAGAACTCACCCCCCCCGGCGGATGGCCATGCCGCAATCCCTTTTCCTCCATTCTCCTCTCGGGATCTTGGGCACACACGCACACGCGCCTGGCGTGAGTTTAAGCTACCGGGTCTGGGACTTGAACCATGGTCAACTACGTGGGAGTCCAGCGACATAGCCTTACACTAACTGCTGGTCCCGAACTTTATTTTTTAATTTGATCAGAGAGGGAAGAGAGAGAGAGAGAAAGAAAAGGAAAGTGAAAAAGCAAGCTGCCAGGTCCAGGACTCAAACCACGGTCAGCCATGTGGGAGTCCAGCACCCTTAACCACCACGCCACGTGCCAACCTCTTAAGTAGCTTCCTCTATAGAAAGAAAGCCTGGCCAGATCTATGGGGGTTGTTAGGAGTGATGACCTTGGTTACAGATCTCCCAGCAAGACAGCAATTGTGCCCAAATAAGAATTTATGTTCTTAAATGTTAAAGTCCTTTATTTCTTTATCTTTAATTATTGTTATAGCTCTCTTACTCTATGTTCTAGACTATTTATTTTGATCTGTAGGAAATACTATACTCAGCAGAAAATTATCCTATTTCTTCCCACTGAGTTCATCATAGCCCAGGTTTTCTTTAAATGGGATTGGGTGCCCATAGTCCTTTAGGGTGGGAGAGGAATGAGTCGAAGATAAAAAAAAAAATTGTCCCACAGTCAGGGTAGGTTACTGACTTTGGAAAAGAGTAAAAACATTATCCTTCTTTTGTGTTTTCAGGAAATGCATTTAGAAGACACCACCAGATTCTGTCCAAAGGAAGAAAGAGAAAGTGAACAAACATCTTTCAGCGACCAAAATCCCAGGCAAGACCAGAAAGGGGGCTTTCGCAGCTCCTTCCGCAAGCTCTTTAAAAAGAAGTGAGTAGCCCTTAGACAAGACAGCATTGTAACTCATTTCCCTTTGGGCTAAGTCTTGAGGTTTAATTAATAAGTACCAAGTAGTCCGTTGTCACACAGCTGCTTCAAGTTCAGTGCCTGTACCCAGTAGCCACGATTCCTGTGGGGAGAAGATTTTTCTCATCACAATCTCCCAGAGTAGCAGCAATCTCAGCTCTCTCCCTGGCCTCTTCTTTTATTCCTCTTTCCTTGTGATGAAAGTCATGTGTCCTGAGAGGAGTATGCAGAGGAGGTTTCCTGGGAAGTGAGCTGATGACAGATCCCTTCTTTACTAGGAGGAGGAGGAGGAGGAGGATCCACTGGGGGAGTTGGGCCCAATCCCAATGGGTGGCCTATTAGAATTTTTCCCACCTGTACAAAGTTTTCTCAGGGCATCTCAGCACTTCTCATTAAGAGCCTGCAGTTATCCTGGGTGCTAGTACATGTTTACTGGAATGTCTGCTAGTGGTTTCCCTAAAAATGGATTTAGCTTGAGCCCTAGTTAAAAACCACTTTAAGTTTCTATGCTTCATAGGAGGCATAAACAAGGCATTTCTCTTCTGTGGTCCTTTGAGATTCTAAGTCCTTATACAAAACATCACCCACCAAGCATTTTAGCTACCACTGTCTTTCAATCCAGGAGGCAGTGGCCAAACTCCAGCATAAAATGTCAGGAAGAGGGAGGACCAAAACATTTGACTATAGAAGGGTTTGCCAGTCTAGCCACTGCCTTCCTGAAAGACTGCTGTGTCTGTCTCACCTGGCCCTCAGGCCTACCTCCCTCTCCCTTAGAAAGATTTTCCTGGTACTTAGTTTCTCTTGGTAGAGAAGGTTTTTCCAGTCAGTTTTTAACAGCAAGTGTGGTATGTTAATAAATGAATGAGTTGAACAAAGAGATTCTGCTCCCTTTTAAAAGTTGCTTATGAGTGAGGAAGGACAGGAAATCACTTTCTCCTTGAAGGGTGGAGGTTACTAGCTGATTTAGGTAATGGTCTTGATGGAAGAGAAGTGGGAGCAGGCCTAGAGTAAGGATATTTTTTTTTTTTTTTTTTTTTTTTTTTTGTGGTTTGTCTAATTCTCCTGTTTGGAGGGTGGCACTGGGATTAGTGTGTCTCTGGTTGTGGGGCCCTGTCTGCTGTCACTGGAAGGAGGGGGAAGAGAAGGAGGAACCGTGGTTCTGTGGTTAGCCGCAGCCTTATAGTCCCCGTCCAGTGTGGCCAAGCAACCCAGTGCTTCATCCAGACTGCTGCTGGATCCTCCGACCACTCTGTCAAGGAGTTGAGGAGTTAAGAATTGTTAAGAATTACTTAAGATCTTAGTCTTAGAGCCTTCTTGGTCCAGTCTGCCAAGTTTGATACGAATGAGAGCACCTGGAAGCAGACAGCTCTTCAGCCAGACATCGGGATTTAGGATCTAATTCTTTCAAAGGAATCCAAATTCCTAAGAACACTGCTTGAGCCCATCTTTTTTTTTTTTTTTTTAAACTAAAGATTTCCCAAAACGAACAGCCACTTTCAGCCCACTACCATTTATAGTGACTGGATACTATCTGTTGAAAGCATGGAGCAATAGATCACTGGTTCCTGTGCAAATCCTGTTTAATAGAGAAAGCAAGAAAACACGGCGCTAGTTACATGAGGCGGAGGAAGTGCATGGGTCCTTTCTGTATCCAGAGGTCAGAATCAGGAACAGTGGATGGGAGGAAGAACTTCCTAGGAAGGTAGCTGCCTAGAAATGGAATCTGGCTGTCTCATGAGACTGAAGGTTCTCTTGCATGGAAGCTAGACAGTTCTGGTAGGGATGCTATAAAAGGCACTGAGAGATTGCTCAAGAAATCACCAGAGTCCTTTTTAGTGTGGAAATTTGCTTTTTCTGTAGTTTGACCCTATGGTAGCTCAGTCTGAGTAATCACATCATCTTTTTATCTGCAGTAAGAAATTAATGTAGCCTCAGGACTGATAATTTTAAAGACCTACCAGCTAGAAGACTGGATTTTCTCTTTCCCATAGACCCCAAAGATTTTGTTATAATGCAGAGGACTTGCTGTGTGTCCTTCCAAATTCATGTGGATTAATTGCTTTCAGTCCTCTTGTGGCTTTTGGGATTCTCCTTAGAAAAAGAGTCAGTAGATTCCCTTAGTCCTCTTGTCCTTTCTCATAGGTTAGGCCCTCCTATACCAGTCATATGCTGCCACCAGTAGTGACACTGTCCTTTGTATTTAAAATTTGAGTTGTTGTTCGGCTGGAAGTAAAGGTGAGATCATGGATGATTCTTCCTCTGGCAGGCTTTTTAGGTCTGGCCTGGGATGGTCAGCATTGTCAGGTGATGCCTGCTTACAGCTTTGGGCTCAGGGTGCCATGGAGGACACTTTGGGGTTGAAGCATGAGCTAAAGCAACAGCTTATTAAGTGGCTTCTCCTGGGTGTTTCACCCGAGGACCATGGAAAGTGTGTTCCATTTAAGGTAAAGAGGAAGGGCAGGGAAGTCCCAGTGTAGCACAGGAAGGCCAGTGGCTTTTAACTCAGAGAACATACCATCCTTCTCATTATTCTTTATGTGCATGTACTAGGCAAGACACTTGTAAGAAATTGCGAATGACCTGCATCCAGCCATTACATATGAACTTGTGCTCTTGTCAGGCATGTGGATAGGTGTCAGAAGGAATCAGAAAGAATTCAGCTCATTCTCCTCCTGTACGTCAAGAGGTCAGGCTGGCAACAAGCTCTGTGGCTTAAAAAAGTAGTTCATGCTGGGTGCTGGAACCCTCCAGAGCCTAGTCTCACAGGTCCAAATGGGCTAGCACCAGAAAAGCTACCTGTGTCATGTCTGAGGCTTGCTGCCTTCCACCCCTATAGCCCTCTGGAGGCTCGTTCCTGTCTACACTGACACACTTTTTGTTCCATAGGGGCTTGTTTGGCTGGTGGCCCCACACACCCAGAATGCTGCTTCGGGATGAAGCTAGGCATGGAGCCAGATGCAACAGAAAACCTGAGAAAGGGTTCTCTTCCCTCTGAGGCTGGGAGGGCCGAATGCTTATACCCACAAGAAATCAAAAGGGAGAGTCAAGTTGACATCATAAAAAATTCTGAAAAAATGCCCATGATAACTGGGGAAAAGGATAAAACCTCCTCATTGTTTCCGTCTCAGGCACATTTGTCCTGGGTGGGTACCAGGTCATATGTCCCTGAAAGTTGCCCAGAGTTGACAAGAAAAATAAACTATACATTTTACAGTTTAAAAAGCCAGGACCAAACCTACTGTGATAGGTTGATATTGGACTGAATACTTATCCCCTGCCTTTGTGCATGATGGAAGACAAACTATTCCATTCTAGAAGAATCCATATGGAGGCTGTCAAAGACATAAACCTAGGTTATTGTGAAGTCTGAGCCAAGTGGTACTTCATCTTTATATGTAAATCTTGCGTTTAGATGAATGAGTGTTCTTGATTGGGTGCATGGCAGCGGGAAGATTACATAAGACAGCTTAGAGGCAGGGAATGCATATGGTGTGCTCTCTTTTTATCCTCAAATTTGGGGGCAGGGGAAGTTGAAGAATATGGCTTACCAGGTGATTAATTCTACTTCCTTACCCATTCTCTTCCTCTTTAGCACTTTATAATTTACATGCCTCAGAGTGTCTCCATCCTGGTCATCATCCTCCCTCCACCAATCTCATCAAAATCTCTCTATTTTCTTAATCACACACAGAGAGAGGACTTCAGCAGGGCCCCATCCAACTGAATATTAGCGAACCCTCTTTTGGTATCTGCTCAATTTCTTTTGTGTATGTCCAGTCTTGGTCATGGAACAGACCATAGAAATCAGGACTGCTAAAGAATCAATTAATAATTTTATTTCCACTTTCTTTCCTACTTCTTTAAAGCCTATCTCTCCTCTCTCCCCCATTCTTACCCACTTTAGGGCTCCTTTTCATTTCCCATTTCATATCCCATATAACATTAAAGTTGAAGAGGATGGTTGAAGGGATACACAATTTAGATGACTTAATCCTGATTATATTTGTTTCTCAATAGGTTATTTTAAATCAATCATTAAGTTGAGGGGCTTCAGTATACTAGGTTCTGTTCAGCACAAAAGAAGTAAAAGAAACAGTTGCTACCCATTAGAGCTTATAGTTCAATACAAGGATAACTTAGCTACAAGGTATAGTACCTAGCACATAGTAAGCACTCAACAAGTATTTATTAAATGAATGTTCATTTGTCACCCTGTTGATTACCAGGGCTAACTGATTAGCCCACTGGATAATCCTCCTCTCCATTACTTCTCCACATGCATGCCTTCTAAAGCTTTCAAGGAAGGTGGTCTTTTTTAATCATAGAACCAGCCCTTTTAAAGTCAAAGTTGCTATGGCACTGGTTTCTACCTCTGCCTTTCCCCATCTTCAAACAAAATGTCAGGGTTTACTTACAGCAAGTCTATACTTATACAACCTACCCAACTTACTATTTTATTGTCCCTTGAGTGGAACGAAAGTTACCTGTAGACCTGTTTTCTTTTTCTCTTTCCATCAGATGCTTTGATGGCTGTCAGCGTGTACTGACAGCCACTGTATACCCTTGCCCAGTGTTTGCCTGCCTGTCCATTTAGTCTCTGCTCAGATCTGCCCTACTCTAGTCAGCCAAAGTGGCTCTGAGACTCAAAAGCCATTTCTGTTTTAGAGAGAAAGGGAGTAAAAGCAAACGCACTGGGCTTTTCTCTTAGAGTCTGTAGTTTTTTTCCTAATAATTTAGATGTACATTACTTTAGAGTATAGCAGTCACACCTTTGGAAGAGTCCAGGTGGCTGTATACCATGTGAATGTAGGAGGAGGTCAATTAAATTTATCTTTAAAAGAAAGGAAATGAGCTGTTGTTAGTCACAACTATAGTAGAATGCTGGATTTTTAAAAGGATTAGCAAGTTAGCCATTAGCTTATTAATAGTATCAAGAATTTCAGACACTGAAGACGTAGGGAAGGTACAATTCATGAGAAGAGCAAGTTAAAAAAAAAACTAAGCTGAGTTTGTCGACTTTGAAAACTAGACAGGGCGATTTTGGCATTTGTTTCAGAAATGGGAACGCATCTGGTGAAGATTTCTGTGGTCCTTGGGGCTGGTGGTGACATCAAATCTTTCCCATTTCCAGGTAAACACTAAACAGTTGCATGTTGGAACCATCAAAGTGTGACATGTTGGGTTTTGGAGAGCTCAGATGTAGCTAAGAGGGGAAATGTGAGGTGAAGATTTTGACTAATGACTTCCAGATGAGAAATCGTCATGTGGGAAACAATTCAGAAGAAACAAGCAGCCCAATTAAAATCCAAAATAACATTTTGGGTACAACTGTAGTAATCAGGGATGATTTATATTGGAGGTAGGATGTTTATAAGAGTTCTGCAATGCGAGAAGGCCTGGAGTTTTAAGGCAGGCATAGAGGCTGTTTCAAGGGAGAGCTCAGGGTTTGGGGAGGTCTCTGAAAAGAAAGAGAACCCCTTCCTCCAACATATCATCTTATTTGATGAGTACCCAGATGTATCAGAGAGACCGTTTTTCCTCTCTTCACTGGGATGTAGTGGAAAAGTACTCCTTATCAACCGGAAGTAGAAAGCATGGTGGGCAGCCATAGGCTTCATCTGTGATAGCAAATATTAGGGTGAAAAGTGGAGAAATCTAGTCAGTTGTTAGGTTACCAGACATTAGGATTTTAGTCTTTGTGTGGATCCAACTTCTATTTTAAAATAATGTAAAGGGATGTTTGAATTCTGCCCAGTTGATTCAGTAAATGATAGAGTCACAATTAACTTATTTAATAACAGGGACTCAGTAGCAAAAATAGCATGTGAATGATAGTGAAAGAACGCACAGGCCATTTATCCTTCTTTAGTGGAAGTGTACTGGCTCAGCCTGAGCACATGGAGAACTTGTTCAGTTGTGTAGAGGTTTGGAAAAAGAACTTCATATCTAACATCACTTTCATACATCCAGCATGAGGTCTTGATATTGGTTCTGTTACTGGGCTAGTTTTACCCATTCTAGCTCAGAGTTTAAGCTAGCCAAAGGGCCCTAGTATAGTTTAGCAGAGGTTATTTCCAGAAAGCGTCCTCCCTTCAGGGACTTCTGACATGAACAAACTGGAGAAGGTGCAGAGCTGGAATGGATTACCCAACTGGCTTAACCAAGATAAAGGAAGAATGCACCCTCGACTGGGGACTCAAATGGACTGATTTGAGTTGTTGACTGTTGATTGGCCTTGGTCTCCTTTGTGGTGGTTGAGATTATAGTATCTCCTCAATATGATCACTGTACTAATTTCTGCATTCTACCAAATGTAGCATATATATATGTGGTTGGCTTCAATAAATCTTTGATTTTAAAAAAGAAAACAAGCAAAAGCAAGAGTTTGTAATGTAATGCCCAAATTCAGCAAAGGCCCTAATAACCTTGGTTGAGCACAATGAATTCCATGCATTTTTACTTTAAGGGACTTGGTAATTTGTGGAGTAGATACTTCACTGAATCAAAAACAGGATTTCTTCAGTGTTCCGAACATTTATTCTCCTATTACAATGTTATGACACAGTATCTTACACTGACATATACAATTGTCAAAGTCATCCCCATAAAGCATTAGAAAGATATTCTCTTTATGTTTGCTGCAAATCTTAGATACACATGTCCTGAGTCATGAAATTCAGGGGAGTAGAAATTATTCCAGATCTAAGAGGCAACTGTTTTACAAATGCAAAACAATTTGGATAGATAAACTATATGAAAACAATTAAAACCAAATCAACCTGTACTTTATCTGTGTGCTGAGATTTTAGGTCCAGTGGATCAGAATACAGGGAAAAAACTAATGAGAATCCCTCAATGGATCCTTCACCCACCAAACAAGATTTCTTCAGAAACCGACTTGCTCTTGCAAATGACCTTGACCAAGGAACAGCTGTGTAAAACAAACTTAAAGTTGTATTGTCAAGTGGTAAGATGAGGATAAAAAGCTTGTATATATCTGTTTAGGAATATATATATATGTATATATATATACACACATATATATATATAGGTGTATAAATCCCTGAGGAGAACTAATATAAATACTTACACATGAAACTAAGTCAATATACAAGACATTGAAGAGGTGAAGATTAGTCTGTGTTTAAGACCTTGCCTTTTTTGAACCTCAACACTTGGAAAAAGGGAAATGAAGACTTTTCACATCATTACAAAAAAACACTATACATTTGAAGGAAAATAAACATTTGTAAGAACAAATACTTCCATCTTGAAGTCATTCCCCAAGTATAATATTGAGCATGTTCATATTTAATTTGGATGTGAATTTTATGCTTTCTAGGGGCTTAGCTTATTAATTCATCCCAGTGTTCTTAGATTAATATACATTATGTTAGGGGCAAGTTCTGTCTTGCCATATGTCTTCCAAAAACCCCAAGGCAATACCTAACATCTCTTAAGGTAAAGGCTTAATTAATAGAACTGTATGTTATGTGTTGCAAATCTGAGTTGTAAAGAAATTTGTGCTTAATCCATGATAGACAAGTTTCAAAGCTTAAAGACACATTGATCTCTAAACTTGTCCTGTGGTTATAGAAATCGGTAAAGGGAACAATGTTTTCTGTAGAAATTGGAGGACAGGGAGCACAAAGGAACAGTCTTCCTTGTACTGAGGACTGGAAAACTCAGAGTGTTTTATTGAGTACTCTGCAAGATCCATTAGTGATCCCGAGTGTCACACACACTCACAACTGGACAGACAGGGAGAAAAGCACTGGTTTAGCCATGTCCTCTTGAAAAGATGTTCTGGAACCAGCAGATGGCATAATGGTTACATTGCTGGACTCCCATGTAGTCAACTGTGGTTCAAGTCCTGGACCCGGCAGCTTAAAACTCACACCAGGCGTGTGTGTATGCATATCCAAAATCCAGAGAGGAGAATGGAGAAGGGATTGCAGTGTGACCAACCCCCTGGGGGGGGGATTTCTTGCTTTCTCTCTATCTCTGTCTGTCTCTCCAGCAAGTACACATGCACTACAGCAAAAATTTCTCTCAGAATAAATAAAAAAAGATGTTCTTCGGTCTGGACCAAAGGTGGCAACGGCACTAGTGCTTTAATGGTTCATGCACAGTGGGTGCTAAAACACCAAATCAGAATTTAACACCAGGTTGCATACTGACTCTATTTTCCAGAAGTGAAGTCACAAAGAAAGCTCCTACAGCTTAGGGAAAGGAATCCAAGAAGTGAGGCCTGCTTGGCTGTGAAGTAATGAAATATGCTGTTTCTACATGGATCTGTCCAAGATGGCCAGCATCCCTGACATGCTCTAAACATCAGATTCATAATAGAATAAAGAAAAATAGGTTTAAACAATGTGTTTTTACCCCCAGGTACTTGCCTGTAATAAATTAGGGGTTTTTGATTTCTGTTCATTCAAAATCTTGGTACTCAAATTAACTTCAGAAGCTGTTCTTCTGTTAATGTACCGTTTGGTAAAACAGGCAATATTTCACTTCCATTGCAAGTTTTCTTCTCTTTGTCTAAAGACTAACAAGGAACTCCTTTATTAGCATTTTGAACAGTGGGTGGCTGAAGCATGTAAAGAATAATCGCCAAATTTTTGGTGTTTCTGATATTTAGGTCGAGACTTCTTTTATCTGGCTAAAGAAGTTTGGGGGAAGTGCTTGAAAGCACAATGCTAAATTGACTGGTCATGGAAAGTGAAACAGAAGTCACAACCTCTTAAATAAAATGTAATGTAAACAATAAAATTCTTTTTTCCTTTATATTCTATCGTAAAAGTGATCTGGAAGTGTTTAAAAACAAATCACACCTCCAGATTTTGATAGCATTCTCTGAACACTTCTGATGTTACATGTCGCACAATTCAATCTAGTTGTATGAAACTCACCTGTGAAACTAATAACTCATACTGCTGCCACTTTCCGGGTCCCCATCCCTGATATCTGGACTTTTCTGTTCACTTTCTAACTGCTCCAAGCACTGTATTCCCATTTATCCTACATGTCTTTAGTATTAATATTCCTAAATACTACTTTGTGTGGAACTCAATGTTTTTTTAAAAATAACTATTTAATTTTATTTATTCATTCATTTGTTTTAATTTGACCAGAGAGATACACAGAGAGAGGGGCAAAGTGAGAAAGCAAGCCACCAGGCCTGGTACTTGAACCACGGTTGACCATGTGGGAGTATCCAGCACCGTAACCAACACACCACCTGCTGGCCCCTCAATGTTCTTATCTACAATTAAATTCTAAACTCCTTGACTTGACATTCAAGGCTCACTCCCTCCAGGATGGCTCCAGGTTTTATTCTGGCTGCCTTCTCATACTTTGTACTTTTGGGTGAACTAACTTACTTCAGCTAAAGTGGGCTCTCCCTGCCCCTCAGTGAGCTCTACACCTTGCCCAGGCTCTTGTCTTTTACATTTCCTTTATCCTTTTCCTTTCTGCAAATCTTAAGACCCTCTTTAAGTCTCTTCATCTTTCTGTGATCTCGTCTAGTGTTTTATCTTTTGACATATTTGTCTTGCCATTCCAAAAGAATGTAAGTCCCCTCAAGGGCAGGAACTGTGCCATATCCTTAGTATTCCCTTTGACCTTTAGAAAGTACACAGTAGGTGCTCAAATGACTGATGCCAGGGTTAACTGTGGTGCCATAGTAGGTAGATGCCTTTAAGCACTCTGTACCTTAATTTGACAGAGAGCTTAAAGGTTGTCACTATACCTCTCTGTTCATTCATTTGTTTTAATTTGACCAGAGAGATACACAGAGAGAGGGGCAAAGTGAGAAAGCAAGCCACCAGGCCTGGTACTTGAACCACGGTTGACCATGTGGGAGTATCCAGCACCGTAACCAACACACCACCTGCTGGCCCCTCAATGTTCTTATCTACAATTAAATTCTAAACTCCTTGACTTGACATTCAAGGCTCACTCCCTCCAGGATGGCTCCAGGTTTTATTCTGGCTGCCTTCTCATACTTTGTACTTTTGGGTGAACTAACTTACTTCAGCTAAAGTGGGCTCTCCCTGCCCCTCAGTGAGCTCTACACCTTGCCCAGGCTCTTGTCTTTTACATTTCCTTTATCCTTTTCCTTTCTGCAAATCTTAAGACCCTCTTTAAGTCTCTTCATCTTTCTGTGATCTCGTCTAGTGTTTTATCTTTTGACATATTTGTCTTGCCATTCCAAAAGAATGTAAGTCCCCTCAAGGGCAGGAACTGTGCCATATCCTTAGTATTCCCTTTGACCTTTAGAAAGTACACAGTAGGTGCTCAAATGACTGATGCCAGGGTTAACTGTGGTGCCATAGTAGGTAGATGCCTTTAAGCACTCTGTACCTTAATTTGACAGAGAGCTTAAAGGTTGTCACTATACCTCTCTCTGTTTCCTTTTTTTTTTTTTTTTTTTAAGAGAAAAAATAGTCACAAAGGAAATCAAATACAGTTGTCTTCAGAAGTAGTTTGAAGGCATCACTGCCACTTTCACATCTAGTGTTAGGGACTGTCTCTGAAATAAAAAAAAAAGATACTTTTTTGTCGTCCTGGTTCGTTTCATAATCTTTCTAGATAGTACTGTAAATTGATGGGAGATAGTTTAATATTTATTAATGATATTTAATGTAATGTTTCAATAGGAATTAAATTAGGAAAGAACTTGATAATTGCTACCTCTGCGATCTCCAACCCCCTGAAAAGTACAGTTTACATAGGAGACCACAGATGTCTTCGGTAAGCATTTGGGTTGATAAGCATCCAAATATTTCTGAATATTTTTACATAGGCTGGTGTCATAACAGTCCTTTCTGTAGCCTTGTAAGATTTGTAATTGACCCCAAGTGATGACTGTCCTACTTCTCTATTGGAACCTCTGAGAACTAGGGACTTGTGGATCAGCACTCTAGAGTTTTCCTCAGTGGGCCACTTCATCATACAACAGATAGTTTAAGCGAGGCAGGGACTTCAAACTAGAATGCCAGGTAGACCCATATAAGCAGTGTTTCCATAGCACTTTACATCTTATTCTCTCACCTCCTTCGAGTCTTTACTCCTATGACACCGTCTCCATGAGGGCACTTGTGTAAATGCAGATACCTGGGCACTGTTTCAGTCTCACTGTATTGGAATATTTGGGGGGAGAGTCCAGGATTCTGCATTTTATTTTTAAACTTTTTCTAAAATTTAATAATTATTTTAATTTAACTTTATTTATTTGCTTATTTTAGAGTGACAGAGAGAGAGAGAGAAAGTGAGAAAGCAAGCCTCCAGGTCTGGCACTCAAACTGTAGTCGGCCATGTCGGAGTCCAGTGCCCTTAACCACAATACCACCAGCTGGCCCCAGGATTTTGCATTTTAAATGAAGTCAGGTGATTCTTTGACCCAGTGAAAGAGATAGAGTCACTATCTCTTAGACCAATAAATTGGATAATCGAGTATATAAATTCAGATTCTATTCCTAAATTGAATTCTAGGGCAGAATACAGAATTGATTATACTTACCTTGAGATACAGAAAATATTTCATCAAAACTCTAGTGAATATTTTTGTATTCTTGAATTTATCTGACCTTGACTGTCAATGTGGCAGTATCTGATTAAAAATATACAAGATATATTCATAATCATTGCTCTTGGTAAATTGGTAAAATTGATTATACATTATAGATAATCAATGGCTTATAGATTACAGAATGAATGTCCTATATCAAACTATATAATAAAATTTAGTTTTCAGAATAAACCTTTTCTTGAAACATCGTCATTGGTAACTGAGCTGAAACAGTAATGCTTCTGGAACAGTTGGGAGTCTCATGTCCTAGAAGCTGACTTGATGTGAGTGCAGCATTCTCAGTGTGGTGTATAGCTAGTGAGTTTCACATGCTGGAGAGGGGTTGGGTAAAAAGGAGGAAAGGATTCTGTTTTTTTTTTTTTTTGAGATTTTTTGCTATAGGGCACATGTGCTCACCAGAGAGTGAGTGAGAAATCACCCCCTGGCAATAGCCATACTGCAGTCCCTTCTCCTCAATTTTCCTCCTGGTATCTTGGACACGCACGCACACGCACCTGGCTTGAGTTTGAAGCTACCAGGTCTGAGACTAGAACTGCAGTTGACTACATGGGAGTCCAGCGACATATATTACACCATCTGCTGGTCCTGAGAAAGTTTTTTTGTTTTTTTGAGAGGTTTTTGCTATAGGGCACGTGTATTCCAGAAAGACAAAGAGAGGCAGAGAGACAGAAAGCAAGAAACCACACCCCCCGGGGGGGGGGGGGCGGCGGTGGCCACACCACAATCCCTTCTCCTCCATTCTCCTCTCGGGATCTTGGGCACACATGCACACATGCCCGGCATGAGTTTAAGCCATCGGGTCTGAGACTCGAACCACAGTCAGCTACATGAGAGTCCAGTGACCTACTGTTACGCTAACTGCTGCTCCCGAGAAAGTTTTTTTTTTAAAAAGAAACATGCGTTAAAGTTGAGAAAAGTGGTGGAGACCTGTGCTTAGGTAAAAAAAAAAAAGAATTTGATTTGTGACATCAGATCTAAGTTTTAATTATTTTTTTTACAGGTGCGAAGGAGATGCAGCCATCTCTGCATCACTGTTTTTTTTTTTTTTGGAGAGGTTTTTGCTATAGGGTGTGTGCGCTCGCCAGACAGACAGAGAGAGAGAGACAGAGAGACAGAAAGCGAGAAATCACCCCCCAGGGAGATGGCCACGCCACAGTCCCTTCTCCATTCTCCTCTCGGAATCTTGGGCACACACGCACACGTGCCCAACAAGAATTTAAGCCACCAGGTCCGCGATCAGCTACATGGGAGTTCAGCGGCATAGCCATTACGCTAACTGCTTGTCCCTGAGTCTTAAACTTTTAAGAACTTAAAAATATGACTGGGGCAGTGGTAAAAACATCTTTTTAGAAAGTTGTTATATGTTCAAAATAGTCAAGATTTTTATCCCCAGACATCTTTTGCCTTGCAAAATCTGGTGTTTTCAAAGAGCCTAGTATGCATAGGAATCTTTAGTAAGTCATCTAAACTCATTCCCTATCTATAGTTTTTTTTTTATATTGTTTTCCAAATATGTCCAGACTCTGACCCATACCTTTCCTGTTTTATTTACTGCCTCATTCCTTTCAGCAACAGTAACATTAAATGCTTTTGATTCTTAGCAGGAAAACTGAATGGGTTGTTTGTTTCTCATGGTAGTAAACCCACTCATCTGGACAGTCAGTAGATACCATCTGTGGTTCCGAGTGGGTTGTTTCTACTCAGCAGTAGTGAGTGCTCTCCCGTCTCTGGGGCAAATCCTTCAGCACACAAACATGCTCTTATTTCTCTCATCTTTAAAACAAAAGAAATCTCTTGACCAGTCTAACTATGCCCTTTATTGTAAACCTGAAAGAGGAAACTGCTGTTGTTTCTCTCCTGCCATCCTTTATTAATTAACTAGGCTCTGGCTTTGCCCACATCCCTGGGATGACTTATGTCAAAATCCCATTGCTAAGTGAAGAGTCTGTTCTCAGTCATTTTATTCATCCTATCAGGTATCACTTAACATGTGGATCATTTCCTCCTGAAATAACTGTTTTACCACAGCTTAAGTACACAACATACTCTTGGTTTTCATCTTTCTAAGTGGTTTCTTCCCTCTTGGTCTACTGGCTGGTTCCCCTTCTCTTACAGAGTGCTCCAGAGTTCTCCCTTGCTTAGATCTGCCCTTTTCAGTCTGTACTCACTCCCCTCTGTCATCTCATCCAGTCTGCTGGCTTTAAAATATCATCTTTATCAAAGTTCTGCTTTTAACCTAGACCTCTCTCCCAAACATCTCCAACTGCCTCTTTGACATCTCTTTAATATGTCTAATATATTTATTGAACTTAGCACATCCAAGTCAGCTTCAACTCTATTACTTCCACCTCAGTTAATGGTAACTTGGTCATTCTTGTTGCTCTGGTCTAAAACCTTGAAGTCATCTTTGACAATTCTGTTTCTCTTTCACCCTAGTTCTCAGCAAATTGCCTGTTTAACAAATATACCTAGACTCTGACCCCTACCTTCCCTGTTACCAGACTAGTTTAAGCCACTTTTTGTGCTAGCTTTCCTGTTCTCACTCTTAATCCCTAATAATTCTCAACTCAGCAGTCAGAGCAGTGCTGTTAAAATGTACTGATAAATCAGATGTAAAATGTAAATGTACATTGGGCCCTCTCTCAAACAGAAGTCAGAGTCATTACAATAGCACCTTCTTTTATTCTGCTCACATTCATGCCTCTCCAGATACAAGCAGACCTCAGGAGTCCTCGGCTATACCAAGTGTGCTACTGCACCTGGGCCTTTCAACAGGCTGTTCCTGTGATTTAGCACTGTCTTCTCCCAGATACATGCACGTCTCATTCCCTTACCACCTCCAAATCTTTATTCATATGTCACCTTCTCTATAAGGTAAACTGTGACCATCCCATTTAAATTTTACTTCCTCTATCCCTCACATTCTCAATCTCCTTGTCCTTTTTTGTTTATAGCAGTTACAACATTCTACTGAAGAATATATCTACTTTAGTACTATCTACATATCCTCACAAGATTATAAAGCTCATTAATGGTAGGGAGTATTGTCTGTTTTATTCATTGCCTATCATCAGAACTGTGCCTGGAACAATACATATCTGTTGCATGTTTACTAGTCAGGCCCTTATTAAATGTTTATGACCTCAAGTCACTCAAAACCAATTTAAGTGATGATAAACAGCAAAGTAGCCAAATAGTAAAGAATCAAATTATGGGGACTTTAGAATAACCAACCTCTTAAAAGATACCTAAAAGCAGGCAAACTTTGAAAATTTATTACCTGTAACATTAGTTACCATTTGCAAAGCAACTGATCTGTGAAAGGCATTGTGCTTTGCACTTACCTTTAAACCACGTAATAGTCGCCAAGAATCTGTTAACCTCTGTATTGATGAAAGACAAGCTCAGATTAAATAACTCCTCCAAAGTTATTCATGTAGAAATGGAGCCAGAATGTGAACACAGCTATGAATCCAAAGCACCTTTGGATTTTACTTTATGCTATTGCATTGATTCTTGTTTTGCTTGAATAGTTATTAAGGTAGGGAAACTAGCTTCTAAATGGGTTGTAGTTATTCTTGCCTCCAATAAGAATCAAGAGTCCAAAGCTGTTAAAATGGCCATAAATTGCTATTTTGGAATTATCATGTATCATAACCCACCTTACCTCTGGAAACCATGGTCATCTATCTGCAAAAAGGCAGGCTTACCTCTGGACTGTACCATAGAGACTTCTGAATCTGTAATGACTTAATATGATTAAAATAAATTAAGAAAGCAAATCACCTGGTTAAAACTCAAAAGAAGTAATGTTTTAAGAGCAAATTTACCATTGACTGATATCAGTTTTAAATTATTTTCCTACAGCCATTAAATTGATTACCTAGAACATAATAGTAGAAATCAATGAGTTTGTCCTTAAGCCAGGGGAAAAAAATCATGAGTGCATTTTAGGTATTTCTGAAAGCAGTTCTCCAAATACAAAGAATCAAAGTTGACTCAATGGTCTCAGTCACCAACTGCCACACAATATTGACTTAAGTCACCTCATTTAACCTCAGTTTTTAAATAAGGGAATTGGATTTCTAAGGATTCATCAGTTTTTACACTCTATACTTCACCATGAATGACTTTTCACTTGCATAATTCTTTTTTTAAAATAATTATTTAACTTTATTTATTATTATTATTTTCCAGTTTGATAAGAGTGAGAGAGAAAGAGAGAAAGCAAGCCACCAGGTTCGGGATTTGAACCATGGTCAACCATGTGGGAGTCCACAGCCTTTAACCAGCATGCCACCTGCCAGTCCCTAATTTGCATAATTCTTTAGTTACAACTTCGAATTCTATCTTTTCATACCAAGCCTAAAAATAATTGCTTATGGTCAAGCTGCTTTATTCAAACAGATCTCAGCAAAAGCTGTGTCAGGCAGTTGCCTGTAGTATCTTTGAACTTCTTTTATGGAATACCACCATCTCTGTCTTCTGAAACTTCATCCAGGTGACACCCAACGTCACTTTAAAGTGCTAATTATCAATCCAAGAGCCTCCCATTCACTACAATCATAGGATCTGACACAGAAGGAAATATGGAACTTATTTTATCATAAGAAAAAGTTCATCCAAAATAAGACCATGATAAAAATGCATATTATTTCTATATGGAAAGTATAAGGTAAATTAGATTACTGGCTTAAAAACAAAACACTGCCCTGCCCTCTAAAATAAATACATGCAAAAATAATACACTTGTGGGCTATGTAAGGCATTTTTCTTTATTATTTTCAGTTTGTCTTAGTAATGCCAGAAAAATAACAGCCATTATTTTCACTTTAAATGCAAACCAAACACTGCTGCACACAGAGTACAAAGATTACCTACGAACAGGGTTAAGTACAAAGGCCGTATTAGATGTATAGACCACACTTTGTTCTTACATCAAAGTAAGACTGACACAGCAATTTTTTTTGACAATTATTTTAGCAAATAACCGTGCTACCAAACAAAGGCAAATACACATATATACACAAACACATCTCAACTGAAATTATACATGTCACTTTGACAAACAAATTCTCTGGTAGTTTTTACCAGATATTTGCACCCCAAAGTCCCCTGCCCTAATCCCGCCCCCAAATGCTGACTTGATCTGAAGAAGAAAATTAAGAGATGTTCTTAATTAAAGGCACATTTGGCAGCTACTGAAAGTGGCATGCATCTGGCACAGGTGCGCTCCCCTCAGCCACACCGCACGTAACTTCCATCTGTTATGCATCTTGTTTCTTTGAGTGGTGGTCCATTGTGACTCACCTTTAGCTAACTTGCATGGTTCTGCAGCAACTGGCTACTTAATGCACTATTTTCATTAAAGGCAAAAGGGAAATTTGCTCACAGTCGACAGAAAATGCACTTTACGGTGTCAAAAATGGAAAATAAGGCATGAAATTTTACAAAACAAGTTATAAGTGCTTTTGTTGTTTAGATTTATCATATAGACTTCATGCTTTCTTAACCAGAGCTCAAAATATTTCACTGGCTCATGTATAAGGGACTATGAAAATGACTTAAAAAGTTAATAATGAGATGTTTCAAAAGAAAAAATTTAATAAATATAGTCATCACTTACCCTTTTAAATAAGTTTACTGCATAATTCTTTCAGCCAAATGGATTGATTTTTTATTTACTGGTTAATGTGCAATACAACAGGACCTACACTTTTATAACAGTCACACACAATATAGGTTAAAAGAATAGTAAATCTACCCACAGCACAGAATTTAAGAAATAAATGGTTAAATTGTTTCTAAATCTGAAGGAAAAAAAGGTTTTTCTCAATATGGACGACACTAATAAATTGTGACACCCCTCTCTGTTTTGCTGAGCTACTTAAAAATATGAATTTAAACTGTTGTAGTAAAAGACAAATAATGAAATACATGATTAAAGTGAGCTAAACCTCAAGAAAAGATCATGATCATACATACAAACTAATTTTTGGTCTGCATATTTTGATTTATGAAAATTTAAAGAATTTAGAACAATGTAGTCTCCAGTTAAAAGAGTATTTGTTCACTAGACGGTTCTGTTGATTGTAGTACTAGTGTGGCGTGCTCTTTGCTAAATTCACATCCATTAAAAAACATCCTTAAATTACCAGAGAATAGTAACCTAATCTCTAAAATGCAAAATTTGATGCCTAACAATTAAGCAAACTTTTAATATTTGTGTATTTCCTGACAATTTGTAGTCTTATTTGGAGAACCTGTCTTTCAATAAGTTTAGAAACATGTATTTCTTATCCATTCCTGTTTTTTAAAAAGTACTTAGATGTGAAAAAGCTTCCCTTTCTAGTATATTGGTTATCAGCAAAGTTAATCCAGCCTTGAAATGTTTTCCTTTTTTTTTTTCCTTTGGTCATTAAAAGATAGTGAAACATTTAAGAACATTTCTCTTTGGAAAAGAAACGTTCTACACCTGGGAATGCGATTAACAAGAAGTCATGCTGCATTGACTGCCGCAGCGTCCTGGATTCTGGGGCAGAATTCTGTATGATGCATTTATCTTCTATGCCACTTCATGTCCCCGATTAAGATTTTAGTTATGACAAGGGATAAATCTGTCAGCTAGTTAATGCTTCATGGTAGGAGAATGCAAGGATATGGTTTTCTCACCTCCACCTAAGGGCATCCAAGTGGAATTTTTAAATCATTTACCACAATAGAAAGTATTTTTGCCCAAGAGTCACACTTCAGAATAAAAGTATCCTCTGTCCACAATGCATGTGAAACTGTTGCACAGTGAAGTGGTCTCCTAGAGCCACAGGGTGGAAGGATGGTTCCCTTTGGGAGAAATATGGTTAGTATTCCAAATCTGAGTTTTTCTCTTAATAATAAGATCAGGCAGGTTGAAAAGGGGTTGTGGAAGGCCAACACACTAGCCAGAGAGATAACTGAATGAGCTCCAATGTGACTTTCCTCAGGTTCTCATTTGGAGTAGGGATGGGGTAACTAAGAAGAGAAGTGATCATTAAGCTGTATAAAGAGAACTCGTAGAGACAATGAGGCTGGCCCAATAAACAGTCATGAGAGATTCTGGAATGTGTATCACAATTAATTGTAGCAGCACTAGTAAGGAGGCTTACATAAATAATTGCATCCAAGAGGGGACTTGAAATTAAATTTTTTTGGACATTTGAAAAGAGGTGACTTCACAAAGAGAAAAATGGCTATCATATTAAGAATGGTACAGATATAAATCAAAAAAGATTCAACTCTAAAAAATAAATAAAAAAAGACATATTAGGATGGACTGCTTAATGCAATTAACATACTTATGGTCTTAAAGGACTATATATTGTATTATCATGATGTACATTTAATGCTGTAATAAATACCACAGGAAATTATTAAAGTACTAGGTTTCCACCATGACACAGCACTTCTAAAAATGTCTTTCATGATGTGACTAACAGAATTGCTGAAATGTTCTTCATTATTCAGAGAACACATGCAGATATTGATGAACTGATGACTCTAAGGATGGAATACTGCACATTTCACAAGCATTATAGTGGAGATTAATAAAACTTCTTCTCAACGAGTTGCATGCATTTCAGTCACAGTATTTGTTAGACTCAGAACAGCAATACATAGGCTTAATGAATAATCCATATTATGATATTAATGATGCAGGTAGATGTTCTATTATGAAGTTTTGATAGAGCAGAAGACCTCAAGCAAAGTAGAATGTTCAATATAAACCTTAACAAACTGGATATATATCACTTAGGAAATTAAAAACTTACAAAGTTCTGCTTAAAAGATACCCATCCTATTCTAACCAAATATTTTCCTACATGCCCAACGACAGGTTTAGATCATTCTTTAAGATTAATACATACAACCAGAACTAGAAACCAAGGCGTACCACAATACGTGCGTCTATGCTTAGTGTTTGTGTGTGTGTTTTTCAACTGAAAAAAATAAGAATCGATCATTTTCTCCATATAATAATTTAATATATGCCAGCCAAACAAAAGTATTTGTATCTTTATTTAATTAAATTAAAACAGACCTGCCAGGTATATTATATAACATTCACTATATACACATGATTTAGGCAATGCAAGGTAATTCTAGATATGCTGATTCCTTAACTATTAATAAAACATGAACAGTGTCAGTGATGCCCAGCAAGTGTTCCTTTCACATCGGATGCCTGCATTTCCATAGTGTGGTTAGAGGGACAGCTACAAGCCATGACATGGATTACCAGTAAACCTTTATGGGAGAAGGAGGGAAATGACAATCTAGCATAGGTTAACAGTCTCCTAAATGTAAATAGTGTACTTGACAGTTACATTTTTTAAAAAGGCGTAACACAAAACTTCTCTTGTTGGAAGGCAACATCACCACATTGTGTGTGTGAGTTGTGTGTGTGCGCGAGTGCACACGTGTGTGCACGCACGCGCACAGATGGGGAGACTGGGGAAATGCTTTTAAAATTGACAAAATTAGTCTTTTAAAAAAAACAACAACAAAAAAGTACCTCTTTGGTGAAGCCTCGGTACCCATTCAATTCACTGTAATAATCTGTAAACAGGACTGTAGTACAGTGCTGTGCCTTGATTTCGGCAAGGTCAGGTACCACAGCCTTTCCTCACAGTCCTTTGAATGATTTTTAAGAAAATATTCTAAAGTAGAAGAGTAAAGCAAAGGAAAACAAAGGAGGACATTAAGATCCCTGTTTAAGATTTTTTTAAAAGTGCATAAGATTTTGAATTACAAAAACTGTCATCATGTGGGTCTGCTGGACACTAGATTGTTTTCCATCCCTTTAACGATAAAGATTGCTTCACAAAAGAAGACTTCTGCCTATTGGCTGGAAAAAGTCCCTTTGCTTGGTTTTCAGGTGCAATCAGTTGTTGGATTCTTCTCGGTCAGTCTTTCCATATTCTAAACTCGAATACCATTTTCAGTTTATAATTACACCTGGGTTAAAATTCATTGTCTTATACTGCATCTTGAAGTAGAGTCGTTAGTGTTTGGAGTTCTCATTTTAACTCCTCAGTGCTGGCATAATCAGTGCATCCATTGCCAGCAATGGATCTGGGGGTAGGAAAGTGTACACCCCGGACAGAGGAACTCAGGAGGAATGGGCATTCTCCAACAGTGGTGGTCCATCTCTGTGCATGGATGGGTGTGTATGCTCCCTTTTGTAAGTTTTTGGAGGGAGTTTAGGGATATGTTGAGAAGTGCTATGTCGTGGAGGAACAGGCGGCCCAGCAACTGGATGAAGGTCCACTTCCTGTGTCAATGGTGGTGATGGCAAGTGCCTTCTCGTGCCATGAGGAGAAGGTGTTTGAGGAGGAGGTGGTGTAAAGGGGGAAGGGCTGTTTGGGAAGAAGGCATTGCCATGGTCACTTTTTTTGCCCAGAGGGGGAGGCTGGAGATGTAGTGGTGAGCTGGAGAAAACATCAGGTGTCCTCACAGGTTCTCGTGGTGGTAATAAGGGAGGGCTCTCAGGAGGGTCTGAGATAGAGGTCCGGTCTGATATCGAGTATCGTGGTGAATAGGCTTTTGATGTGGGTTGCCTAGGAGGAATGGCTGGGGGGCTGTCCAAATGCTTAGACATAATCTAACAAATGAAAAAAAGAATACAGCACACATTTATTAATGATTTATATAGTACCATGAATATATTAAGAATTATGTTAGGGTTGTTCAAATGTGTTATTGGCGAACACCAGGTGTTGAACAAGCAGTTTTTCCATATATTTTAAATGGGAAATTCCACCATTCATAGAAAAAAAAAATTAATTTTGGCAATGTTAAGGTTTTTTCCTCAAAATTCTTGTTTGCTACCGCATGCCTATAACCAAGTCTAGAATAAGATCATTTATGATGTAGCATAAGTTACCTATGAATTTTACCATTTTAAATGTACAGTATTAACATTTCATGAAGTTCTGCAAAAAGTGTCTGGACTTATTCAGATGTTGCTCTGCTCTCTGAACAGCTTAAGGATCAATGAATAAGTTAACAACCAAAAAAAGAAAGAAAAGGAAGGAAATTTAAACAAATTGGAAAAGAAATAGCTATTATGAGCCTTTAAGACCTCTTCCAACCCAGAACTTTGATGAATACCTCATTTAAAAGCATGTCAGACTCATTATTAAGGATGCAGATAAGTAACTGTCAGCATACGCTAAGATACAGTTTTGGTTATTTTTTTATTTTTTTATTTTTGGAGAGGTTTTTGCTATAGGGTGCGTGCGCTGGCCAGACAGACAGAGACAGACAGAAAGCGAGAAATCACCCCCAGGGGGGATGGTCACGCCACAATCCCTTCTCCTCCATTCTCCTCTCGGGATCTTGGCCATGCACGCACACGTGCCCGGTGTGAGTTCTAAGCCACCGGGTCCGGGACGCAAACTGCGGTCAACTACGTGGGAATTCAGCGACATAGCCATTACACTAACTGCTGGTTCCCCAGTTTTGGTTATTTTTGAACTTCATACAAAATTTCAGAATTTTCTTTCTCTTTCCC